GATGACCAGAGCGGCCGGGCCATGACGTAAGGATCCAGGTGGGAGCCGTACCATCTCGGACTTTGTATGCTAGTGTTAGCAATTTGAATTTGATGCTTGCAGCTAGCGGTAGCCAGTGGAGCTCAATGAACATAGGGGTGTCGTGTGCTCTTTTTGGCTGATTGAAGACCAGACGCACCGCTGTGTTCTGGACCATTTGAAGAGGTCTCACAGTACAGCCTGGAAGACCAGTTAGAAGGGCATTGCAGTAATCGAGGAGGGAGATGACAGTAGATTGCACCAGGAGCTGGGTGGCATGTTGTGTTAGGTATGGTCTGATCTTTCATATGTTATACAGTGCAAAGCAGCATGAACGAGCAACAGAAGCAACATGATCTTTAAAGGTCAGGTGTTCATCAATCACAACACCCAGATTTCAAACTGCCTTTGAAGGAGCCAGAGATAGGAAGTCATTTTGGATTGAGATATTGTGCTGTATGGATGGTTTTGCTGGGATGACAACTAGTTCAGTTTTAGAGAGGTTGAGTTGGCGATGGTGAGATTTCATCCATTTTGATATGTCAGAGAGACGGTTTGATATTCGTGCAGAGACAGTTTGGTCGTCCGGTGGAAATGAGAGATAGAGCCGGGTGTCGTCTGCATAGCAGTGATAGGGGAAGCCATGTGATCGAATGATCTCACCCAGTGAGGTGATGTATATGGCAAAGAGAAGAGTTCCTAGTGCAGAGCCCTGGGGGACTCCTGTGGCAAGATGGTGCATGGTAGAGGATTGTCCAAGCCAAGATACACTGAATGATCGTCCTGTGAGTTACGATTCAAACCAGGCGTGCACTTTCTCTGTGATGCCCATGCTAGAGAGTGTGGACAAAAGGAAGCCATGGATGACAGTGTCAAATGCAGCCGATAAGTCGAGCAGGATAAGCACTGAGGATTTGGCAGTCGCTCTAGCTTCTTTTAAGGATTCCGTCACTGCTAACAGAGCAGTTTCAGTGGAGTGGCCCTTTTTGAACCCAGATTGGTTAGGGTCAAGCAGATTGTTTTGTGAGAGGTATTCTGTGATCTGCCTGAAAGCCACCCTTTCAATGATTTTGTACAGAAAAGGGAGGAGAGAGATAAGTTAGTAGTTCTCCACATGATTTGGAGGAAGAGATGTTTTTTTAGCAGCAGTTTAACCTGAGCATGCTTGAGAGAGGTGGGAAATGTACCGAATGTCAGTGAAGCATTGGTCTCATGTGTGACTGCTGTGGCTACTGTAGGAGCAATAGCTTGGAGCAGCTTAGTCGGAATGGGGTCAAGTGGGCATGTAGTAGGGCGGCTGCACGTGAGAAGCTTGGACACACAGTTCTCAGTGAGAGGGGGAAAAGAGGAAAGTGAAGCAGTAGGGCCTGAGATGGTTGGGCTAGGAGTTTGTGGTAATGAATGTTCAGGAGTGGCCAGTTGAGTAAACTGTTTGCTTATAGCTGCCACTTTGTCAGTGAAGAATGAGGCAAAGGTGTCAGCTGATTGTTGGTAGTAGGTGGAGACGGAGGGTTGAGCAGAGTTTTGAATGTCGAAAATAGTTTCTGAGAGTCAGTAGAGCTGAGAATTTTGTCAGTGTAGAAAGTTTTCTTTGCATCAATGATGCTGGCCGAGAATGAGGACAGTAATTCATGAAATTTCAGTTGACCACCAGGATCTTTTGTTTTGCACCATTTCCGTTCCGCAGCTCTAAGATTGGTGCGTAGAAACCGGAGGGTATCATTTAGCCAAGGGTGGAACTGAGAGGATCTAGCAGGTCCTCTTGTCTCCTGTTTCCTTCCTCCTCTTGTCTTCTGTCTCCTTCCTCCTCTTGTCTCCTGTTTCCTTCCTCCTCTTGTTTTCTGTCTCCTTCCTCTCCTTGTCTCCTGTTTCTTTCCTCCTCTTGTCTCCTGTCTCCTTCCTCCTCTTGTCTCCTGTCTCCTTCCTCTCCTTCCAAATAATTATTTTAGGCACAGACAACATCCCCCACACTTGAAAAGCTTGCAACGTGCCTGCTACTAGTTACAAATTGTGAAGGGGAACGATTTTCACAAATGGCAAGAATAAAAAATGAACTGAGAACAACACAAACTCAACAGCGCCTCAGTGCACTGTCACTGATGGCTATTGAGTCTCAGCTTGTCAGGAATCTGGACTTTGATGACATTGTAAATGAATTTACTAATACAAAGGCCAGAAAGCAGTTTATTTGAAGGCAAGAGAGGAGACCAACAACAGGAAACAAAAAGAGGAGGAAGGAGCCAAGAATCAAGAGGAAGAAGGAGACAGGAGTCAAGAGGAGGAAGGAGACAGGAGTCAAGAGGATGAAGGAGACAGAAAATAAGAGGACGAAGGAAACAGGAGACAGGAGTCAAGAGGAGGAAGGAGACAGGAGTCAAGAGGATGAAGGAGACAGAAAATAAGAGGACGAAGGAAACAGGAGACAAGAGGAGGAAGGAGACAAAAGACCAGAGGAGGAAGGAGACAGGAGACAAGAGGAAGGAGACAGGAGACAAGATGAGGAAGGAGACAAGAGGAGGAGGGAGACAGGAGACAAGAGGAGGAAGGAGACAAGAAAAGAGGAGGATGGAAACGAGACAAGAGGAGGAGGGAGACAGGAGACAAGAGGAGGAAGGAGACAGAAGACAAACAAAAACATGCAGATATTTAACCCTTGCATAAACTTAAGTAAGTGAGTTTTAACATTGACAATGTTATGAAATCACTATTTTTCAGAAATGGATTTAATTAATTGGTCATTCAACGCGATTGATAAGATTTTTTCTACGATGAGAACGGAGGAGGGGGCTCGCGCTTGTCCTCACGGGACACATGCAGCGGGATTTATGCTCGATTCCTGGGAGAAGTGGAATGTCATCTGTCTCTCTCAGCTGTCCATTGAGGACGTCGAAGATGTGTGGATATTTGGCCTGATGATCACTGGATTTCTTCTGATTTGAGTGGGAGGATATCTGGTTTTCCGTAAAGTTGGGATGACGGGAGCGATTGGAGGGCGACCCGCATCCATGGACGGCACCGTCCGGGCGGAGACCTCACAGACTGGGACGTTACTCGAGTTGAATCGCAAGCTGGACAATGTCTTAGCTGCGTTACCGGTGTTAGTGCGCAAATTGGATGTCATCTTGGAGAGGGTCACCGGACGGTGTGGAGATGTTTAATCACCGAATTGGCTTCACTGGAGGACTTGAATGATCAATACAGACTTTAAGGCACAGAGGAAAATTATCTCTGCCTGACCCAAACAAAGTCTTGTTATCCAATCTGACGCCATAAGCAGCCTTGGAGTTGTGTGCAAAAAACCCCACGATGGAAGGAATGCAGACAAATGCTGTGGAACAACCCCCCCCCCCCCCCCCCCCCCCCCCGCCTTCAGATTGTGGTCTCTGCACTGAGGTCATCAAGTTGGAGGCACTCACTGTGCTCTGTGCTTTCCCGTGACCTCCCTCCCACCTGTGGATTCAGTTGGCCGAGCGCCACACAGGCTGCTCCCGCTGAGGAAACCAGGGTCCCAGCCCCTCCCCCCTACCTACCGGGTCTCATGTTGTGAACTGTGACGTTCGTGCTTATATATTGGGTGTTTTTTGGCATAGTAGAGCTACACCCTGCCGGTGTAGCTCTGTTAATGCCTTTTTCTCCCTCCCCGAACTCTCCTCATGTAATCCCCTCTTCATCTACTGAAGTGAGCAATGAGGAGGAGGGAGACAGGAGACTATGGCTGCTCTCGCGGTCTGCCTGTATCTGTCCTGTCTATATGTGTGTGTGTAATCTTGGTCAGGCTGTACTGTGGAGTCAAGTTCCTATGCTCTGGATCGCTGGAGCGCTGACAATAAAATTCTTTCTGATTCTGATTCTGAAATGTCTAAAAGTGCTTCTGGGTGGCAGTAATCTTGGGGGAGGCTAGGTGGGGGGGGGGGGGGCCTAAGCGCATTGTGCCCAGGGGCCCCTGCAATGATAATGCGGCCCTGTTGTTCGCCCGTGAGAAAAGATTTAACCTTCAGTAAAACAGCAAGTGGAAAGGCTGCAGATAGATGAATAGTATAGAAAATCCCTTTATTGTTCCTCAGTGGGGAAAGCTAGATGTCACAACAGCGATGACACTTATTACAGGGGAAAAAAGGAGAATAAAAAGTAAACAACAAGAAAACATAAATCCTGAATAGATTTTAAAAATACTCAATATGCCACAAGTAATGAATACCACTGATGTGTTTGATTAAAAATTTAAATTGACTTGTTCGTGTGTAATTTGGTTATTCCACATTCAGTATTAATGCAAAAAGAAGTTTGTTTCCGAATTAAAAGGTTCAAAATTGCATATATGTTGATAAAGAAAATGTGCAAATTTGCCGTCACTTTTAAAAAAAATATTAAGTTTGGTCCGCGACCTCGTCCCAGATTTTCATTTCGGCCCAATGTGAATTTGAGTTTCACTCCCCTGACTTAGGCTGTTACCCCCGTGACTCGACTCCAGATAAGACAAAGACAATGGATGGATGGATGGACTGTCATGATATAAAATCAGATTCCCGTCAGTCGCATGTCTTTTATTAGTTTTAGCACCAATTATGTGAATACGTCATTTTTCCACTGACATAATTGCATACTGGGTACTGGATGAGGAACACACATGGATTACTGAGACCTTCAGAATTGCTCCCCCATTTTAACACTAGATGCTGTTCCTATGCATGGTCAGAGCTGTTCTTATATTTGGAACATTTTCAGGCACAAGTACAAATTGGTAAATACTACACAATGCGTAAAATCATTCCTGAGCACGAAATATGCACAGATCTGTTCATAATTACGGTTGATAAATGAGGGCCCAGGTCTTTAAATCGATGGAGCACTGAAATTATAGTGCCAACCTGTCAAAAAATGTCCGTAACAAAGCAGGTGAGATTGCTTTATATGATACCATTGAATTGTTAAAACTTGTTTCAAAAAGGTTTGTCCCCTTTAATGTAATAAATTCCTTTCAGTGGAAGTGATGCTGCATCTATTCAGACCCGTGCAACATTGTCTGAAGATGGAAAACATTACCTAATCAATGGTTCTAAGGTAAGTCACTCACAAATATACTACTCTACCTCTAAAATTTGTAATTCAATCGTTTAATTTTTGCTTATCTTGTCAGATTTGGATCTCAAACGGGGGAATGGCTGATATTATGACTGTGTTTGCCAGAACTGAAGTGGAAGTAGATGGCGTGAAGAAAGATAAGATTTCTGCTTTTGTTGTTGAGAGGGCCTTTGGTGGCGTCACGAGCGGAAAACCAGAAGACAAACTGGGCATCAGGGGTTCCTACAGTAAGGATTTCATGCATGCAGGGGTGTGGTTTTATCCAACATGATGAAACGTTATGGTTTCATTAATTAAAAAAGATTCAGTGCAGTCAAGTCATTTTACTCAGACATTTTAAACAAGTGAAGTCAGCAAGTTCAACCATGTTCTTTGTGAATCCCTGTTGGGAGACCTCAGAGAGAAAGGGCACGGGGGACCGGGCTTTTAGGTCCCAGTATGACTGGTGTCAGGGCTTGTACTGGATTGCCGGTGGTAAGTCGGGCTCATTCCTGGTTTGACACCACCAAGGCTGCCATTTGTCACTGATTTTGTCCATAACACCTCCAAGTCCTGTGTATTAGAAAGCAGGGCTAATTGCTGATGTGCCGCAGCTGCTTCTGCTCTCAGTGCCTTCTCCTCCTTCGCAGCTTTGCCCTCTTCCACGCTCCGCCACACACCCCTACTGCCAGTCTCAGGCCTGGGGCCTCCACTGGCCTGACCAACTGCAACTGCATGGAGCAAGGAAATCCACCATTACCATCTGGGCCCCCAGCCTGTGGATCTTTCTGAAATTGAAGGACTGAAGCGCAAGGTTCCAAAGGGTAATCCAGGTGTTGGTGTCCTTCATTTGATGGAGCCACTATAGTGGGGCATGATCTGAACAGAGGAAGTTCCTCCCCAGTAGGTAGAACCGGAGGGCGTTGACCACCCATTGGATAGCTAGGCACACCTTCTCGATCTTCCTGTACCTTGATTCTTAAGTCAGCTTTCTATTGATGTACAACAACGACTGAACACCTGCACCTGCTGTCAGTTCCCCGCACCTGCTGAAACAACCTACAGAGACAGCACAGCACCCAGCCCTCTGTCCAAGGTTGTCGGTCTGCATGGTAAAGGGGAGAGAGAAGACAGGTGAGAATAATACAGGCTCTTCAGAGGGCCCCTTTTGACTCGGTGAAAGGACTTCTGATATGCAGTGGTCCAGATACCTGGGTCTGGGGCACCCTTTTGGGTCAGGTCAGTTACGGCGCTAGTCACGGCTGCCAAGTCCGAGATAAACCGGCGGACAAAACGCGCCAGTCCCAGGATCTGCCAGATGCCCCTTTTGTTCTGGCGAGGAAGGCAGGCTGCAACAGCTGTCGCCTTGACCACCTGTGACTGCACTTGCCCCCCAACAGCAACTCCAGGTATCGCACCTCCCACCGTTCGACTGCGCACTTTTTTTGGGTTGGCGGTCAACCCAGCCCGCCACAGCGTCCCCAGCATGGCAGCAACCCGCTGCACATGCTCCACCCAGGTGTTGCTATGGATGATTATGTCATCCTGGTAGGCGGCAGCATATGCAACATGAGGTGCTGGAAGGTGGCTGGGGCCCCAAACAACCCAAAAGGCATCATGCATAATTGGTAAAGGCCGAACGGGATGAAGAATGCAGTCTTTTCCTTAGCTTCTGGTGCCAACGGTATCTGCCAATACCCCTTTGTCAGATTCAGTGTTGTGAAGAACTGGGCAGAGCCCATTCAGTTGAAGATTTCCTCCATCTGAGGCATGGGTTACACATATAATTGTGACACCTGGTTCACCTGGCAGTAGTCAACACACAACCGGGTGCCCCCGTTCTTTTTGGTCACCAGCACAGTGGGACTGCAGCAAGCACTGTGGGACTTTTCAATCACCGCCATTTCCAGCATGGCTTTCAGTTCTTGTTCGAATACCTGCCGTTTTTGCTCGGACAGGCGGCAAGGCCAGACTTTAACCGAAACCCAAGGAGGTGTCTAGGGTTTGGCATCGAGCATCGATTGGAACCGGTTCCAACTGTTAGTTTTTCCCTTGAATCGTTCGAAGTTTTTTTTTTCGATTCCTAGTTTCGATTCCTAGAATGCCGACGGAAGAGGAATCAGCGGCTGATCTCCGTGAAAAATAAACGTGATCTGCAAATTGTGATCAGCACTTTTCAGAGCTGTTCACACCAGCTGTCTGTGTGCAGCACCGAGTCCCCCCTCCCCCCACCCGTGTGCAGGGTCCAAATATAAACAAACGTGTCTGCCGAACTTTTACTCCGTAATGTAAACTTTAACTCCTGCAATGTAGAGGAAACTTGTTAAAATACGTCAACGCGGTGGATTTAATAGAAGCTTTAAAGAACAAATTCTGGACGGTGTGAGGTGAGTTTGTCTCACTGCAGAAATAAAAACACACACGGAGCGTCAGCAGTCAGACACAGCCGCGTGAGCATCAGAAGGCTGAACAATAACATGTAGAGTAATTAAAGTCATCATGCTAGAGCAGCTTTCTCTGTGGTGGACCACACCAGCTTCTGCCACAATAAATAATTATAATAAATAACATTTTTTATTTCCTTTCTGAACTATTTCTGTTGAGAGTTTTAATGTTTAAAATCTGTTAGATTGTTATGGACAGCAGCTACGTTTAAGTTTCACTTCCTGTTCTGACTGAATGCTGCTGCAGCATGGAGGTGTAGTTCTCAGTCATCCTGGACATGATCATCCTGAGAGTTTTAGCTGAAAACAGCTGCACGTTTCTGGATATGTTGGAGACATTTATCCATTAGCCTCTCATCCCAGAGGCTTTTTCCAGACTTTGGTTGTGGTCAGAAACAAACACACTGGTTGTGCTGCAAGTCTTTTTCTTTCTTGTCCAAAACATGTTTTTGTCTGAATGAAGGTGATGTTATTGTTCATAGAATTAAAATTCATGTTGAAGTTAAGATTATTTCATCAAGTAGGACCTGTGGTTAGCTGGCTCATGTAAAACATGTCATGTCTTGAAAGAATCGGAATCGGGACTCTATAGGAACCGGAATCAAAACGAGGAATTGGAATCGGAATAGGAATCGTTCAAAATCAAACGATGCCCAACCCTAGAGAAGAAGAAGTAGAAAATATCATTTCTATAGCGCCTCTCAAGATAAAAATCATGAGGCGCTTCACAAAAACAAAAAATGTAAAAATATAAAAAAGCATTTAGAAAATGTTTAAAAATATATTTAAAATGAGCAAAAATAGGCAATTGTGATTTAAAAAATGTTAAGAAATAGAGAGCGTGAATAGGAAAGAGGGAAATCAGTGGATCCTGAGGAAGGTGGAATAGGTGGGGAGGTGACTTAGAGGTGACTAAGTAGTGTACAACAAGATCCATATGGCCCGACAGACGGGAGAAAACCTCGGCAAACTGCTGCTGCAGTAATGCCACATCCGCACTTTGAGGAGAGGATTGATGGTTAGTGCATTGGGCTCGGTTGAGATTGGTACAGTTGGCTACCTCTGGCCCCAACTCCTGTCTCTCCGGAATGGCACTCACCAAAGAGATGGGTGTGGCCTCCCTCCAGGCTTTCAGGAGGTTGAGGGGGTAGGTCTGTGTTGCTGCATCCCTGTCGGACCGCGTCACCTCATAATCCACCTCCCCCACTCGCCGTGTGACCACAAAGGGTCCAAGCCACTTGGCAAGGAGTTTGGAGCTGGATGTGGGTAGTAACATCAATACCTTGTCTCCCGGTGAGAATTGACGTAGCTGTGTAATCCACCAGGATTAAAGCAAACCGGAACTTGCATGCACTCTGGAGCAGCAGACCGATCAGATCCATACCAAGGTGTTCAAATGGCTTCCCCGCTAAAGGAAGGGGCGACGGTGGCACAGGAGTTAAGTGCTCGCCCCGTAATCGGAAGGTTGCAGGTTCGAGCCCCGCTCAGTCTGTCCCTGTCGTTTTGTCCTTGGGCAAGACACTTAACCCACGTTGCCTGCTGGTGGTGGTCGGAGGGACCGGTGGCGCCAGTGCTCGGCAGCCTCGCCTCTGTCAGTGGTCCCCAGGGCAGCTGTGGCTACATTGTAGCTCATCCCCACCAGTGTGTGAATTTGTGTGTGAATGGGTGAATGACTGATTGTGTTGTAAACCGCCTTGAGGAGTTCCAGGACTCTAGAAGGCGCTATATCAAATACAGGCCATTTACCATGTAGCGGCGCTCTTGAGATGGCCGGTGAATTTATCAACCGACATTCCGGGCAGGCCGCGCACCAACTGCACACATCTTCCCGAATGCCCGGCCATTAGAATCAGTTTGCAACACGCCGGAGAGTTTTCCACGCCCCATATGTCCCGCCATGGGGTTACTGTGAGCCGTCTGGAACAATAGTTCCCTACGGCTCTTAGGTACCAGCAATTGGGTGGTTTCTGTTTGAGTCTGAGTGTCACAACTCATCCGGTATAGCCTATCCCTGACCAAAGCTAAATAGAGGTAGGGGAGAACCATGTCAGTGCATACCAGATGACCATCAATTTTAGCCACTTGGTCAAAGGCTGAGCATAGAGTATCATTACGAGAAGGGCAGGGAACCTCAGGGTACGTCAGGATACAATATCACAATATGGCGATACTGCACAAGTTAGCCTGCAATATGTATAACCATTTAATTTTAGTTTGCCCTGAAATTATTAAAATAAAGTGATTATCAACTGCTTTTAAATGTCTAAAAGTCAGAGTCAATGTAAAAACAATTTTAAATGCCTTACAGTTAATCTTATAGTAAAGTCCATGTATACAAAAGTTTAAGTGCCTTACAGCAGTGTTTCCCAACCCTGGTCCACAGGGACCACTGTCCTGCATGTTTTCCATGTTGCCCTTTCAAACACCAGTGTGTCTCGGCTGCCACATGCCTGACTTAAATGATTGAGTGATTAACCAGTATCTGCAGCACTTGATGTCCTCCTGAGGAGCCAATGTAAATCAGGTGTGCTGAAGCAAAGGCATGGAAAATTTGACAGATATCAAGATATTTCACCAAATCTGTGTTTTGTCCCCTCTCTAAAGTGGAAAATCCTCCGTGAGGTAGAATATTGGAAAAGCCGGGGCCTCCGGTGGAGGTCCTAGTTGCTCCCCGCTTGGGCAGAGTCGCATGACTTTGCATCACCACTGAACATCAGGCATATGCTACCAGTGACTTCCTGTCTTGACCGCACCCCCACACACAGCCCCACTAAAATATTGAACCCCGACAAATGAGTGCCCATGATCAGGGGTTGCGACAGACCTTGGCTAACTGCAGCCTGTATACTATGTATTTTTTCCCTTAAAGGCTAATTCAAGTGGAACAGTGGGGTATTAGTCCACATCACTAGGGATATAGTTAATTAAAACAACCCCTCACAGAGGGTTCGCTAACACCTAGTGTGTGACTCCATCAGGCACGGATTAATGCACAGGCTTGATATGGCTTAAGCCTAGGGCCACACGTGTGTTCTGGGGCCCCCATTGGCCAGCTAAAAATATATTTAAATTTACATGCAACAATATTCTTCAACTGTATTGGCCGACAAAATCATAAGCGACCCTGATTGGGTAAACATTGTGGCGGTCTTGAGTTAAGTAACGTGTCACGTGACACGTGCACTTAACGAGGGAAAATGAAAAAAAAATATCAGAAAGAAAATATAAGAGCGGCAGTCAGAAAAGAAAAATGGAGAGAATCAAAGAACAAAAGCACAACAATCTTCTGCAGAAAATCCCAAAATTGTCAGGTTATTTTAAACCTGCTACTGGACCCAACAGCAGGTTATAGAAAAGCAACACGTTCACGATGAAGGCAACAGAGCTATGCTAGCTGGAGCGGCAGAGGTTCATGATGCTAGCTCAAAGGAGGGAACAAGCAGTCAGAGAAGCTGATATTGTCCACTTGGGGGCAGATGCAGACCTGCTTCAAGTAGTTTCTGATGGGAGCCCGGCAGAAGGTCCTAGCCAGGTGAGGCCGATGGCGGATGATAACTTAAACCCGGATCCTGGCTGCTGAGGTGAAATGGATGAAAATGCCAGAAAATATTGGTAAATTATGGTTAATTCACAAATACCCTATGATTAATTAGATTAACATTTTTAGCTGTTTGACAGCCCTAATTAAAATAAATATCTGCAGATAAAAATATAGGAAAGAATATTTCGCTTCAACCAAGCATTTTTGGTACCTAACAAGTATAGCCTATGGGTCCCTGTAAACCGTAATCCTCCCCTGGACTCCCCCCAACATTACCAGCACCAGTAAGGGGTCCTTGAGTCCGGTTCGGACCGGCTGCACCATTCTGGATCCTCTGTCGACCTCCATTCTTGGACAGTCTCATTGCAGGTGTCCCGGCTGACCTCAGTTCCAGCAAAGGGTCAGTGCGTCACTTCTTGGCTCTGTCAGCGGGACTTGGGTTAGGGACTGCCTCTGATCCTGGGCCAGACGACGCTGGTGCCAGAGACCTGGTTCCGGGATTTGGTTGCATCCTCTGGGTGTCAGGACTGGTCTCGAGCCATGATCCTGGTGTGGGCCAACTGCTCTGTCTGGACACACTGTGGTTGCGCCACCAGAAGATCCTCTGCCAAGTTGATGGCCGTCTGGAGTTTGTCTGGCCAAAGGCACCGGACCCATTCTCATGTTCCCATCAGTAATCCATCCTGGAACTGTTCCAGAACCACCAGCTCCAGCATGTCCAACTCCCCATCGGTAGTTTCAGGAGTCTCATTGCCGCTGCCTGTGCCTCGCCTGTCATCAGCGGGAGGAGAAGCATACCCGATTCCTCTTTTGGCAACCTGTACATCACTGCTGTCACCTACAAATCATCCTCCACTGTCACATCATCTGCAAAAAGCAAAGACTAAATCCTTAGGCCATCAAAATGGATCCCCTCAACACCTTGGCTGCGCCTAGAAACCCTGTTCATAAAATTTATAAACAGAATCTGTGACAAAGGACTGCTTTGGCAATGTCAGACTCTCACTGTAAAAGACCCCACTTTACTCCTGGCGATGCGAACCAAGCTCTGACACCGGTCATATAGGGACCTAAAAACCCATATCAGAGGGCCTGGTACCCCATGCTCCCGAAGTACCCCTGGAAAGGGCCTCTCGAGGGAAGCAGTCAAACACCTTCTCCAAATCTACAAAACACATGTAGATTGGTTGGGCAAACTCCCACGCACCCTCCAGGACCCCCCTAAGAGTATAGAGCTGGTCCAGTATTCCACGGCCAGGACAAAAATTACATTGCACCTCCTGAATCCGAAGTTCCATAATTTGTTGAGCCTTCCTCTCCAGAACCCATGAATAGACTTTACCAGAGAGGCTCAGGAGTGTGATACTTCTGTAGTTGGAACACATCCTGTGGTCCCCTTTTTTAATCAAGGGGACTGCCAATCCAGTGGAACTTCCCCCAATGTCCACGGGATATTGCCTGCAGCTGCAACTCCATTTCAGAGTAAATTGAGTTTCCAGCCCTAGTCTAGGAAACGGGTCCTGGAGCCAGAGCAATGCGTCAAGGTGAATCTGACTATATCTAGTTGAAACCTCTCAATGTCGCACACACACTCAGATTCTTTCTCCTCCAGAGAGGTGACATTATGTACCAAGAGCCAGCTTCTGCAGGTGAGCATCAGACCGCCAAGAAGCATGAATTAAGCTTTAGTTGAATATTCAAGTTTGTGGATAAAACAACTAGTTATGTCAGTTGGTATAGTGTGCATTAAATGCACATTCAACAAAACTTTCATTCCCAGGCTCAGCCCACCACCATCCCCATTACAGCCATCTGGCTTGCGCAGGTGAAATCCTCAGTGTTTTCTGAGCTTAAGTAGTTTCTATGAAAAGTTTTATAAGGCCCCTGCACTTGTATAGCACCTTTCTGAGTCAGATAACTCTACAGCACCTTACAAAACTGTCAGTCACCAATTCACACACATGATGATAAGCTACATTGTAGCCACAGCTACCCCGGGTCACACTGACAGAGGCCAGGCTGCTGTACACAGGCGCCACTCAAACCACCATCCCCCAACAGGCAAGGGGGCGAAGTTGTGTCTCTGGGAAAAAAAAGTGAAAGTAATTGTTACATTTTATTAACATTTGTGTTTTGTAGCTTGTGAGGTGTCGTTTGACAATGTTCCAGTACCAGTGGAAAATGTAATCGGAGAAATCGGAGGTGGATTTAAGGTAAACATCAGAAGCAGCTGCTTTTCCTGAGCCTCTCTACAATGTAACTAAAGTTTATTTCTGTTGTAACAGATTGCCATGAACATCTTGAACTCAGGGAGGTTCAGTATGGGCAGCTCGTGTGCTGGAATGATCAAAAAACTGATAGGTAGGAACAATGATAGTGTAGATTCACAGTCGTCCAGGACCTGGTCATCTTGACAGTTTTAATAAAAAAACCACTAGACTTTCTGATTTAGTCTCTCATTCAAGAAGCTTCTTCAGTTCTGAAACTTGGGTTGGGATTAGCAGGCATATACATAGTAGTCCTAAACAAACCTGCTGATGGGACAGTAGTGGTCATCATGGTCACATGATTTTCTGGCCCTTCTATTCAAATTCCTGTTTGTGTGGTTGGTGCGTATCATCCTGACCATATCCCAGGTCCTAACAGGATCAAAATGATCAGAGTCCAGTTGTTTTCTATTAAAGGTCAACTTCACTGAAAACTATTCTTTAATGATTATACCTGATTATAATCAGTCACTCTGAGTTTCCCTGCAATTTCTGCATTGGCTTCTGAGAAAATAGACTCTAGGATTAGAAAAGCCTGATAGATCTACGTCACACTGTCTTGTAACAATCATGGACTCACCCATCTTGACTCCCAACAAGGAAGGCTGTTGTTGGTTTAGTGTCCAGGAAACTGCAGAGAACGTCTCAGCTAGTCAAAGCTAACAATTAGCATTAGCAACTCCACCAAATAACAGAACTCTTCGAGGCTTGTGTTTGTTGTGGAGAAAAACATAAACTTTGCAGAGCAAACAGATTCAGTGGTAGAGTCATGTTGCTGTAAAGTAATATCGATCTACCAAATTGCAGAGATCTTATTATTTGCGTTCTATCACCTGTGGCGTTATTTCTTGATGCGTCGTCAGGCACTCATTTTCCAGAGTCACGCTATTGGCTAGTCTGCTTCTGTCGGCAGGACAGACACACCGATGAACCAATCCGAGCAAGTTTAAGGCAGCGTGTTGGTTTGTTTAGCTGGGGTGCATGGTAGAGCTGAAGAAAATAATCTAAATCGATGCATTAAGATGCAGACAAACAATAATGAATCTTTGAAGAAGCACACCGTACTCGATTATAGCGGCAAGGCACTAGCATTAACTTGCTCCGTCTTTAGTGGTCATTACATGTATTCTCACAAGTCTCAGGAAACCTCTGGGTCGATGTTTTGCTCTAAACTTTGCATTTACCTTAGTGGCTCTCATTATTTGGGGACATTCGTTTGTGTTATAAGGAGCCGTGAGGCACAAATAGCGGGACTGTAATCCTGACCACAGCTAGTTAGGACAGGATTACACTCCCGCTATTTGTGCCTCACGGCTCTCCGTGGCAGTTTCCTGATTGCGCGGCGGAGGGGTTTGGCATAAACAAAGCTCCAGTCGGCAGCCACAGTGATAAGGCTTGTTAAAACACACACGAACCTCCACGAATTATAAAAGTCACACAGTTAATGCAAAGTTTAGATCAAAACATTGACCCAGAGGTTTCCTGATGGAACAGACTCATGAGAAAACATGTAATGACCACTTAGAGACATGAGATAAGGATGCATCATGAGTTATGGGCTCGACACACGGGAGGCGACCAACAACCGCGATCAGGGAAATTTGTCGCCGTCGCTTTTATTACCGGACACACGGGAGGCGATCTGCGGCCAGCGGCAAAGCCGTCTACGCGTTCTGTTCCATGGCGAAATCGAAACTTCCGTTGTTTTGTTTGGCTGTGTCAGGTTGGAGGGAATTAAGGTTATTTAAGCGGTTCAGAGTTAATAAAGTGGTAGATATGATGTTTCACAAGGTGCTGCTAGAGTTATGTGAAATCTTACTTGTGATTTTACTATATAAAACATAATAATAAGCAACTTCTCCTCCCTGTTTGCTCGGAGATGTACGGAGCATCCTGTCCGCTCATTGGTCAGTGAATGAAACCCTCGTTGATTGGTCCTCGTCCGAGCGACAGCGATGAAAAGTTGAAAATGTTTCAACTTTCTGGGATCGCGTCGCTGGGTCGCCTGTGCACGACACGTGCACGAGCGCAAAATTTCACACGCACGTTTTTTGCGTTTCGCTTAGTAGCAGGGAGACCCGCGATTATCGCTTTGTCACGCATGTCTCATTGAAAATGAATGGAGGAGAGGCGATGTCGCCTCCCGTGTGTCGAGCCCATTAAACTTAACATGATAGATTTGTTCTCTGGACAAGACATAATTACTGGTAATATTGTGGATGATAGGATATGAGCCACCTCTAGTTACAATTTAAGTTATTTTACATTAATTAAAAATATGTAATTATATAAAAGTGCCTGTGGGGAATTTGAGACATATATCTCTTGCTCTCAACTGTGTTTAGATGGATGGATGGGTAGATGTTGGAATTTTAATGTTTTTTAGGATTATCAAATCTTTTATCCTGTTTTCTGTGAAGAGGTATGTTTTAAACATCTGAATTTTCAGAAAATGCATCGTGATAAAATCGTGATAATGATTTTTCTAAAACAAAATTGTGATATGATTTTTTTCCCATATCACCCACCCCTACCTCAAACAGGGCACCTGAGTCTTTTCTTCAGAGTAGGACTTGTAAGGCATTCATTCCTACTAGAGACCTCTGCAAATGTGTTAAAATTTGAGTGATGTTGATCTTTAATCTCTCAAGATTGGTAGGACTTGCTGAATGTTGACTTTGATAACTTAGTGAATGATCATGGCTGCAGGCTAGTAACAACTGTTTTTCCACAGAGCTGACTTCAGAATACGCTGCAACCAGGAAACAGTTTAATAGAAGTCTGAGTGAGTTTGGTTTGATCCAGGTAGGGGAGTTACCTCTGAGTGGAATGTGTTCAGTGAATGATTGTGTTAGAAATGTGTGAAGAGTTTGTTTTGATCCTGTAGGAGAAGTTTGCACTGATGGCCATTAATGCCTTTGTGATGGAAAGCATGGCATACCTGACAGCTGGGATGATGGACAGACCAGGAGTACCAGAGTGTTCCCTCGAGGCTGCCATGGTGAAGGTTAGATTGCTTTGATATTTTATCTTCATGTGAAACTAGTGTGAGACAACTGTTCTTACAGTGTCTTGTCTGTCCTCTGCAGGTGTTCAGCTCCGAGGGAGGCTGGGTCTGCTGCAGTGAAGCTCTGCAGGTTCTGGGAGGGCTGGGTTATACCAAGAACTATCCATTTGAGCGCTACCTCAGGGACTGTCGCATCCTGCCCATCTTTGAGGTACTGGATAAACTAGTGAGATCCACATAGGAATGTTCTAGCAGCTAAAAGACATTTTTTTCTAATGTACTGGTGAAACTTAAATGTTTTCAACAGAAATTATATGGAAACTGAGTTGCAGCCACCACTCAGATTTTCTTTTGCACTTGTGCATGTGTCGTGCATAGGCGAGCCAGCGACGTGATCCCAGAATGAAGAAAAATGACAACTTTTCGTTGCTGTCGCTCGGACAAGGACCAATCAGTGAAGTTTTCATTGATTGACCAATGAGCAGACAGGATGCTTCCCAGTACATTGTCGAGCAAACGAGAAGGAAAAGTTCATACTTGCAGCGTCATATCCCAGAGCATTAGAAAACTTCTACAAAAGAATATAGAGATCTTCACAAAAAAGGCAGCGGCATGGGGAATTGTTTTTGATTTAGCATCACTGGCAATGGGCACCTGCCAGTAACCTCGAGCGAGGTCCAGAGTTGTGAGAAACGGGGGTGGGGGGTGTGGGGGGGGGGGGGCTGCAATGCACATAAGACGCAAACTTACATTGTAAAGAAGGAACATGAGGGATTGTCGCCCATGATAACAGTTCTGGAGGGTACATGTGTTGTCAATGAATTGAGAGTCATAAAGTCCACGCCAACAATTAACTCACTCACTGCCAATGACGACTAAAGTCGTCATTTTAGATCCAACCGTTACTTTTAAACTTGAAATTTGCCCCCAAAGTCGCTGCCGGCTTCTGATCCGCCGTCCTTTTGAAAATACTGCGGTGTGTTATGGGTGATTTTTGACCAAGGCTAGGCTACAAGAAGACACCTCCCGTGTATCCTCGCTCAGCTAGCTAAACGGCTAACAAACGGAGAACACACCCCTCAGTAGAACATGAAAATTGGAACACGTGTTGGCGGCTCCCGATGACGTATCTCCTAGGCAACTGGGGCGGGGCCAAGATATCAAGGCAAGGCATTGAGAAACACCCAGGATAAAAGGTTGTTGCTGGATTATGACATCATTCCTTTGCAACCAACAAAGTCTTAAAGTGACACAAACCCATTATATCTGTTACACAGCGCCAGGGTAAAGCCAATAGAAGGAAAACACTGTACCCTTTAGCAGGACTATAACTTCAAAAGTTAGTCTGTGATAGTTTTTCTCAGTGAAGCACAACCTTTGAATGAAATTACCCCTAAAACTATCCTACCAAATGTGCTGATAAAAGTTTTGTTGAGCCCATCCTTGAGAGAAAAAATTGTTCTGAATGTATTGTTTGTGTCCAGGGAACCAATGAGATCCTGAGGATGTACATTGCTCTGACTGGAATGCAGCATGCTGGGAATGTCCTCACTAGGAAAGTAAAGTATGTGTCTATAAGGCCTTTTCCACTACTCATTGTGGCTTGACTTGGCTCGGCTCTATTCTGCACAGTTTGGGTGGTTTTCTTTTACAACTTTTCTAGTGGGAGAACTCGTTGTAGCGGGTTGGCACATTACAGTCACAGGGATATGTAGTGGTAGTTTTGTCAGATGCCAGCTGAAAAACTCTGGAGTAACAAGTCACTCTTGACGGTTTTAGGCAGAAAATCTAAATTCTTAAGATTAACTAAAACACAAAAATAATGACTACAAGTGTCTACAGCTCTATTAGACATTGACTTATTTATACAGTTTATCAGCAAAGAAAAGTTCATTTGGGGATGACTTACTCTTTCAAGGTCAACTGTACTCATGTTTAAATACACGTGCAGTGGTCTCTAGTAGGAATGAATGCCTTATAAGTTGTACTTTGGGGGGAAATAGGCTCAGATGTGCCTGTTTCAGGAACTAGAAGTAAGCCACCTCAGAGGTAAGCTTCAGACGGCATGATTTGGAGTCTTATAGGGAGCCTAAGTCACGCCTGTCTACTTCCGGAACATGGGTCACCAGAAGAATTAAAAATTATTGCTTATTTTCGAACAAGGGGAAACATTATTTTAGGTTTTCTGTGAAAATGCAACCAGGACTACAAATGCGCATCACCAATATGACGTCATCGAACCAGACACAAAGAAGGTCATTATACCATACCATACCAATTTTATTTATATAGCACATTTAAACACGGCATGAGAGCCGACCAAAGTGCTGAACAAAACACACAATAAAAACAATCAAAAATAAAAACTAAATCCATTAAAATCAAGTAATCCAACCCTAAAAGGAAAGGTAGAAAGGGAATAAGTTAGACAGAATTAAAAGCCAGAGAATAAAAGTGAGTTTTTAAACGAGACTTAAAAAGGGAAAGAGAGGAAGAGAGTCTGATCGGGAGGGGCAAGTGGTTCCAGAGCTTCGGTGCACAAACTGAAAAGGCGCGCTCCCCGCGGGACTTACAGAGAGAGCTAGGGACATGTAGGAGGTGTTGGTCAGCTGATCGGAGAGATCTTGTAGGGACATATGGGTGAATGAGCTCAGACAAGTAGCCAGGTGCTAAGTTATTTAGGGATTTAAACACAAAAACCAGGATCTTAAACTCTATCCGGAGATGGATGGGGAGCCAATGAAGATTTGCTAAAACCGGAGTGATGTGTTCCCGCTGCCTGGTGCCAGTCAAGAAACGAGCTGCTGCGTTCTGCACAAGCTGAAGTCGAGCGAGAGTGGAGGAGGAGATACCGTACAGCACTGAGTTACAGTAGTCGAGACGGGAAGTAATAAATGCATGGACAACTGAATGAAGATGACGCCTTTTTAAAATGGGCTTAACTTTAGAGAGACGCCTCAGGTGGTAATAACAGGTCTTAACTCCCTGGTTGACATGAATGTCCATTATGGTTGTAAGTTCAGCGAAATTCAAACCCTGCTTTCGGGGAGAAATAACCATCATAAATCTGGTCATGTGGCAGCTACGCTAGGGGAGAGGAGATTATGTGGTGACTTCATATATGCGACGTACCAACGTTTGATTTGTAGACATGCTAATTATGAATTTTTACAAGCCGATAAATCTCAAAGTACGTGACTGGCGTGGTTGAAATACACATTACTTTTCATTTAAATTTAAGTACAACATATGTGCGATTCAGGGCTTAAGGGAAAGCAGATTTAAAAATAGCTCTTTTAGCCCCGTTGACTTGCATTCATGTTTTTGTTCTTCTGGAGACTCGTGAACTGACTGGAAAGAGAGGATCACCTCACCTCCGCCTGGACCAGTTTGGAAGTGTTCTCATTTAGATAGCCTTGGATTTTCCCGCACGCAACCGGATGTCTTTTCAGCCCTCTTCCTGAGGCAGTCTGCCTGGAGCTAAACTGGTCCAGCACGCATGCTGCTGACTGATTGTCTGGCTCAAAATCATGCGTACCAATACGGGAGCCTCGGATTGGTAAATAGAATCAGTCTGCCGGGGCTTCCTGCATGTGCGATTCATTATCATTCTGGATGCATGGAGTTAGCGACCCTCTGACTGAAGCTGTTTTTCTCTGTCTCTCACTGCTGTGAGGAGCGCACATGCACGCACGCACGCACACACACACACACAGTACTGCTAGACAACAGCAAAGCAGAATTTATAATCTTAAGAGTTAGAGAATCTCCAAAGTCAAGACTGCTCAGGCCACTTTTGTTTAATAATGGAGACACCCTGGAATCGCGCACTTCTGTGAGCTCTTTTGCCCCACCCACGTGCTCAAAGTTGCGCTCATGACATCACAGACCACCCACGTGCTTAATCACGTCTATACTCCTATAGCAGTGTGGAACAAACGCGGCCAGGCTGGGGCTGGCGGAAAGGAGGGGAGCAGATGCTAGTGTGCACCAGCTGTCTGTTGCTGCGCACTGCTGCAGCATGAATCTTTCTGGCTGGATTGAGTGAATTTCTTCATCAGAGAGTCAGTGTTCTGCTTCATAATCAGTCAGTCATGACCAAAGAAAGAGATCAGTTGACAAAGACCAGACCTGACAGGAATTGTAAGTTTTATCCATCTATTCGGCTTCTTCGTGCTGCACTCGTCTCCCCCTCTCGTCCTCTCCCCGACCAGGAACCTCTCAATGGGAGGCAGTTTTAAAACACTAAAAACTCATGAACTTTAAATATAAACACACCCATAAGTGTTGCTCAGCCTGAAGTTAATCCATTTCCCTCTGGGATTAATAAAGTATTTTTGAATTGAATTGAATTGAATTGAAGTTACACATCTCCACTATCTTCTGGTATGAAGTGGTAACTGACAGACTGCCAGTCTTTTCTAATCCTAGAGTTTCTCCGTCTATTTTCTGTCCAAAGCTAATACAGGAGACAGGTGTAGGAGACTATTTACATGTTCAGCCTGGATGAAAAACTCAGAGTGACTGATTATAATCAGAGATGATCATAAAATAGGTATTTCAGTGAACTACACCTTTAAGTGATTTTGTGTTCCACTTTCTCCGCTATTTTTAGTCCCTGCTCCGTTGAGGTACAAGGCTGAGCCAGGCTGGCAACGTGATTCTAGCCACTGATTGGCTAGGGGGCGGAGTCACTGGTTGCTTTGGAGTTTTTTGCTTTCTGTTTCACTGCCTGCAGCCATTTCCTGGTTCAGAGTCTGACAAAAAGCCATAAAACTGACCAAAATGTCCAGCAACACCACCATTGTTCAGTTGAGTTATATTTCTGTGGAACATACAGGTTACCTTACACTGTTTTCTGGTCACCTCATGTTATTTTCTCAGGAGTAAGAATTGCACACCCACCTCCATCGGGACTGCCGCACATCCCCACTCCCCCCACACCTATGAGGGGTGCACCCACTTTCTGTCATGGAGCTGGCATGGGAACAAAACTACACTAAGACAAGCTGATTCAAACCACGCTTTACAGTTTTAGGCTGAGTAGCGTTCCTTGAAAACCACCTTTTGTGGTAGAGTTCATGAAGATGTGTCTTTTGCTCTACCTCCAGAGAATTGAAGAAAGGAAACATCTTCTTGGCTATAGGCATGGTTGGCAAGAGTATAAGGACTTCACTAGGTGGCTCCGTAGACCTCGGTCTGACAGGGAATGACTGGGTGGTCCATCCTAGCTTGGAAGTAGGAACCTTACGTAATCTTTTTTTCTGCAAGAATTTATTTGGAATCAGTTATTTTTGAAAACTTCCTCTTTATGTTCAAAGGAAAGCGCGAAGAAACTGGAGGAGAATGTCAGCTTCTTTGGATCGACCGTGGAAATGCTGCTGCACAGATATGGAAAGGTAAGCTTTGGTTCTGCTCAGAGGTTCCTCTCATCTGATTTCTCATCCATCTGATGTCACAATGACAGTGTGCGGTAACCAAGCAGACTTTGTTAATCTCTGCCCAATTGCAAAGCTCCCATTCCGTTCAAAGGTTCTTGAGATAATCGTCCACTTGCAAGTTATGGCTCACATGGAAACTAACTCACTGATTGACGTGTGCCATTCAGCTTTTAGACCAAACTATAGCAGTGAGGCAGCCTTGATTAGTGTGCAGAATGACATTTTGGTGGTGTCTGATTCAGGGTCCTATGTGTTGCTGTTGACGGATCTTTCAGCAGCTTTTGATGCCGTGGACCATCGGGTACAGTTAGACTGCCTTCATTCTTGGGTTTGTCTGTCAGGAACTGCATTGAACTGGTTTCACTCTTGATTGGCAGAGTATTTAGTGTGCCACTGGGTGCCTGTGCATCACCCTGTCTTCTCCTGATTTTTGGGGTGTCATAGGGCTTTATCCTGGGGCCACTCTTGTTCACCATATTTATTACTGTTGGGGAAGATCTTAGAGTATTTTAACATTGGCTACCATATCTGTGCAGACAACTGCCAGATCTATGTGGCAATTGATGGAGTGGACACCTTTCAGCGGTTAACTGGTTGTCTTGCTGTAGTGAAGGGGTGACTATCTGCTAACTTTGAAACTAAATGAGGCAAAAACAAGCAATTCTTTGTGACCCAAGAAATCTGTTGGCTCAGAATTGTCCAGCTTTTGACCTCCAGCAGTGTTACCAGTCTTGGTGTCAGACTGGATGCTGAATTTACGACGGTGCCACAGATATATGTAGTGGTGAGGGCCAGTTTTTTCCAATTGCAATGTCTAACAGGTCAGAAATCTTTGTAGAAACAGTGGCTTCTAGAGTCTGCAATTCTTGCCTTCATCACTTTTCAATTAGATTATGCAAATTATTTACTTGTTGGTGTTCCTGCCTTGGCCGTGAACAGACTGCAGATGGTCCAAAATGCTGCAGCAAGGTTCTTGATCAATACAAACCAGCGGAGTCATGTTTACCCCGATACTGGCGCATGAGCAAGGGCTCCAGGGGTCTCATTTATCAAACATTGCGTAGTTTGCTCAGCAAAAAAAAAAGTACTTACGCCAAGTAGGTTTGTGATCTATCAAACATGGAGTACGCACAGCTGCACGCAATCTCCGCTTCATTAATCAGAAACTATCTAGAAATGTTTTCAGCTGCTTTTTAGTCACATCCCGCCTTCAACACGCCCACTTTCTGCCATAGATGGTTGTCTTTTTTATCACTCCTTTTCCTGTAACATATGTAAAGCACTTTGGTCAGCTCCCATGATGTTTGTAAATGTGCTTGATAAAGTGAAATGGTATCTGCTAACAGCTGCTCCAGTGCTCGTGTCATCTCAGAATAACTTGGGCATCTCATATTGTTTATTCAGTTTGAACGCAAGTCAGACTTTCCCTTTGATCCTGTAGAATTATCACAGAAATACTAAACCTAGATAAGTGATGCTGGTCCCTGCAGTAGCAACCTCTGATCTCACGCTCAGGCGTCTACGTTTACGAGCAGCTAGTCTGTCCAACTATCATGGTTTTAAAATAAACAAGTTTTTTTTCTTTGATTCAGTTTTCTTTGTTTTCTCTGTCACACACTGAAGTCCTGCATGACTAAATCAGACTTGCTTTGAGGGGATTCCTGTTCAGCAGAGATGAGGCATTGCTTCAGTCAAATGAGTAATGCTAGTTTCCCTCCTAATGATGTCAGACCATAGTGGATGAGCAGCTGGCCCTAAAGAAAGTGGCAGACGTAGTGATCAACCTGTACGCCATGACGGCCGTCCTGTCTAGAGCCAGTCGCTCCATCTGTATCGGGCTGAGGAACCATGACCAGGAGGTGTGTTTTACACACACACACACACACACACACACACACACACACACACACACACACACACACATCATAGTATTCCTCACTCAGCTGTTGCTGGCTCTTCCAGGTTCTGCTTACCAATACGTTCTGCAATGACACCTTCTTCAAGAACAACTTCCTTATGGTTCAGCTGCAGAAGCGTAAGTGAAACCTGCGTGCGGATTGAGACCAGCTCCACCCACTACAGGGTTTAGGTTTCATGATTCAGAGGAAATCTCACACTCAGTCCAATCCAGACGGATGACAGTTTAACATCTAACTCTGGCTTGTTTATTGTTCTTGTGCCGATTTGTTCCAGACTCTCCTGAAAACAACGATGCCAACATCAAGAAGATTGCTACAGCCGTCTTAGCGAACAGGGCCTACACCTGCTCTCACCCTCTGGAAAGAACTTTCTGAGCTCTGCATGAAAACAGCCTGTTTTTAGTCGCGTTTAACTTATTTAGGCTTAATGATTCATGGTTGTCAGTCACAGACGGAGTAATAACATGTTTCTGATAAAACTTTACTAAGTGCTCTTTCATCCAGATGCTGGGAGTTTCAGACCACATGCATAGATCTAGACATGTAAATATGTTTCTGCGGTTTTTTAAAGTGAAAACTGTGCTTTCTTCGTCGGTCAGACACTCACACCCAAAGAACAAGTCTTTTATTTCCTCTGGTTTGTCTGAAATTTGACCTCATCAGAATAAATTCTTTACTTTAACACACCAAATGAGTGTTTGCTGGCTGAATACATGCTGCTGTTACTGCTAAGTCCACTCAGAACCAGAGCTTCTCTGGATGGAAGTGATGATGTGTCGTTCACAAACAAAGCAGCTCTTAGAGCGTGCTCTTTGAAGGCTCCATTTCGGAGGAGCCAAATCAGTTTTTATTTTTTCATTTTCTCTCTCTCTCTCTCTCTCTCTCTTCTCTCTCTCTCTCTCTCTCTTCTCTCTCTCTTCTCTCTCTCTCTCTCTCTCTCTCTCTCTCTCTCTTTCTCTCTCTTCTCTCTCTCTCTCTCTCTCTCTCTCTCTCTCTCTCTCTCTCTCTCTCTCTCTCTCTCTCTCTCTCTCTCTCTCTCTCTCTCTCTCTCTCTCTCTCTCTCTCTCTCTCTCTCTCTCTCTCTCTCTCTCTCTCTCTCTCTCCTTTAAGCCATTCATAATTGACTCCAGTAACTCCTCGATGAGCCCTTTTCTCCTCTGTGTGTTTGCAGTGTAACGAGTTGGTACTGTTAGTATATTGTAATAGAGTATACAGGTATTCGATAAAATGTAACTTCCATATAAATATGGATTATCAATATTATTGAGCCTTTAATATTCGATTGATGACGAAACTGGGTACCTTGATAATGCCAGTGAAAGAACACTTTATAATAATTTGATGCAGACACATAAATATAGTTGATAAAAGTCTGCTTATTACTATATTAATGATGATGAAAGGTAAATGATTGTAAATGGTGATTCAAAGTGACATTAAATGAGACAATGAATGAACTCTGATGAAACTAATGAAAACATTTACCATGAAGTAAATCTGTTGAACACTGATAATAAATCCTTTTTAAATTCTCAAGTAGACTCATTTAGTGTATTTAAAATCTGAAATAAGTCATCAAATAAACACTTATGTGATGTAAACCAGTTAATTAAATCAATTTAGATGGAACATTCATTGTAAATAACACAGAATATGGTTGTAAACCTGTAGAAAATCATTTTATGAGACCAAAAAGAACAATTTTATTCAAAAGAGGAAAAGTTTCTGCATCCTTGGAGTTGCAGCTTCTTGTAAACATGAGAGATTCTTTAGACTTAGTTTCCAGGTGGGGCCGATAGGGATGGTTAAGCATGGAATTGTTTTGGTACAGGGAAGGGCACAACGTTCCTAGCAGAGGAAGCTGCTGGGCACTTTGTTAACCTCTGACATTACGGTGGACAAGTAAACTTTTTGGCCTTTCCCAACGTTACAGCAGCATGCGGGGGGGGGGGGGGGGGGGGGGGGGGACAGGCACTGCGTAAACGCTTAGAGCAGTGGGAGGAGGAGGGTGTGAAAGGGGGGAGAAAAACAGGCTACAGAAAGGGGAGGACATGAGCGAATCAAGAAACGCCACCAGATTGGACACATTTTAACAATATTGACAAATTAAAAGAAGAGTGGACT